ATACTACACACCATTTAGAACAAATACTACATTTATTTTTGAGGCAGGTTCTCTTCATATAGTCCAGGTTGGCCTGGAACTTACTATGCAGACCAGGCTGGCCTCCCACTCAAGAGTTCTGCCAGCCTCTGCCTCCTGTGTGCTGGGATTAAAGATGTGTACGAAGTGAAAGGGGAAACAAAGTGTCATACTTAGCTTCAGTTGCCAACTTGGCACACCTGGGAAGAAGGAACCTCAGTTAAATAAGTGTCTCCTTTGGTTTGGCTCTGCACGAGTCTGTGGGGACATTTTCTTAACTGTTAATAAAATGGTTCAGTCTCTTATAGGCAGTGCAACTCCTGGGCAGGAATCCTGGGCTCTACAAGAAAGCAGGCTGAGCAAGCCAGTAAGCAGCGTTCCTCTATGGCCTCTGCTTCAGGTCCTGCCTTGAAGTTTCTGCCCTGACTTCCCTTCATGATGGACTGTGAGCTGTAAAATGAAACAAGCCATTTCCTCTCCAAGTTGATAGTCTTCATGGTGTTCATCACAGCAGTAGAAGCTCACTAAAACAAAATTAAAAAAATTTTAAATGAAAAGAAGCCTAGCTGGGCATAGTGGCTCACATCTTTAATTCCAGCACTGGAGAGGCAGAGGCAGGTGGATCTCTGTGAATTCAAGGCCAGCCTGGTCTACAGAGTGAGTTCTAGGACAACCAGAGCTATATAGTGAGACCCTATCTCAAAAATAAAATAAAAAAGCTAGGCTGAGACTGCTGGAGATAACCTTTTTAAGAAAAACTCCATGGGGCTGGAGAGATGGTTCAGCGGTTAAGAGCACTGACTGCTCTTCCAGAGAACCTAGGTTCAATTCCCAGCACCCACATGGCAGCTCAGAACTGTAACTCCAAGATCTGATACCTTCACACAGACATACATGAAGGCAAAACACCAAAACACATAAAATAAAAATAAATTAAAAAAACAAAATAAATAAAAAATAAACTCAGCTGGGCATAGTGGCCCAGGCCTTTAATCCCAGCACTCGAGAGGCAGAGGCAGGCAGATCTCTGTGAGTTTGAGGCTAGCCTGGACTACAGAGCGGGTTCCAGGATAGCCAGGGCTACACAGAGAAACCCTGCCTCAAAAACCAAAACCAAACAAATATAAAAACCCCAAATGGACAGAAGACACCCAGGAAGAACTCACTTGACCCTAGTTGGGAAGTAGTCAAGGATGATGATGAAGCCAAAGGAAAGAGGATCTCTCTGGCCTGTCCAGGGAAGGACACTGCTTTCTTCTTGAATAATCTGCTGACAGAAAATCGGGGTTGGGAGGATTACTTACTGGCAGAGCACATGCTTAACATGCTTAAGGCTCTGAGTTCAATTCCCAGCATTATCTTTTTGTTGTTGTTGAATTGGGAAATGGGCGAGAAAAGCATGATAACCCGCTACATCTGCCTGTGAGAGTTGTTGCTGTTGCAAATTACTGTAGTGTCGAGGCAAAAATCTTTGCAAAAAGGTCTTGGTTGCTCGTTTTATGGGTAGAGAGTTGGGCTGCACAGGGATTACCTAGTCCCTTCCCATCCACCCAGCTGCCCTCTCTCCCCATAGCCTGTGATGGAGACACAGACCTAAACAATGCAGAAAAACATTCCTGAGTCCATTTTAGTCAGGGTTCAATGCCTCTGTTAGTCACTTGGCTGCTTGCCCACAACAAAGGGAGAACCTACCCTTTGCTCCTGGGTGGATGGAGTGGGTTAGTTGGGATCCGGAGGCTAGAGACTGACCCCCTAGGACTCAAAGTAGATATTTACCCGATTTTTCAAAAATGAAGTCAGAGACTAGTTAAAGTGGTAAGGATGAATTTTAATCAGTAACAAACTGCTGGAATAAGAATTTAAGATGTTTTGTTCTGTTTTGAGAGAGTGTTTCTCTGTGTAGCTCTGGCTGTCCTGGAACTCACTCTGTAGACTAGGCTGGCCTAGAACTCACAGAGTCCACCTGTGTCTGCTTCCCAGGTGCTGGAGTTAAAGGTGTGTGCACCACCACTGCCCTGGTGGAATAAGAATTTAGGAAGAAAATTACTCAGCTTGGATTTGTACAGAGGTGCTTTGAAAGGAAGAGAGGAATAGGGTATCAAATTGGGCTTCCTTGTGTCTGTTAGCTGGCTATTCATGAAGTTAGAATGCTAATCTCCCACAAAGACTACGAGACAGAGCATTGTAAATACGTGGATTTTTGATCTTTGAGATTCTTCTGAGTTGTAGGAGATTTAAATATCATATACATCTCGAAGGATAAGAGTCACAATTATTAACCTGTTGTAGAATATTACTTTAAGGTGTGTTAGTTTTGTTTATGTTGCATTTGTTTAACTCTGTGAAGCTGTGTTACTGTGCCTGTCTAAAACACTTGATGGTCTAATAAAGAACTGAATGGCCAATAGCAAGGCAGGAGAAGGGATAGGTGGGGCTGGCAAGAGAGAGAATATACAGAAGGAGAAATCTGGGAGGAGAGAAGGAGGAGGACATCAGGGGCCAGCCATCCAGCTACACAACCAGCAACAGGGTAAGAAAGAAAGGCATACAAGAACAGAGAAAGGTAAAAGCCCAGAGGCAAAAGACAGACAGGTTAATTAAGTTAAGGAAAGCTGGCTAGAAAGAAGTCAAGCTAAGGCCAAGCATTTATGAAGAAAAAGCCTCTGTGTGTGATTTATTTGGGAGCTGGGTGGTGCCCCCCAAAAAAAGAACAAAAACAAACAACAACATTAACCTTTGGTAAACCCTCCAAGAAAGGGAGATTTGTATATAAGTATGTGCACATGTGAATGTAGGTGCCCCTGGAAGCCAGAAGAGGCCCTAGGATCCCTTAAAACTGGAGTTACAGGAAGTGGTGAGCGGCCATATGAGAGCTGGGGACCAAATCCTGTCCTCTCCAAGAGCAGCAAATGCTCTTAACCAATGAGGGGGTCTTTGCAAAAACAAGTGCTCTTAACCACTGAGGCAACTCTCCAGCGCCCTGAAGGATGATCATTTACAACTTCATTGTAAAACAAAACAGCTGGGTGAGGTGGTGTAGCACAATTTTTTTTTTTTTTTTTGGTTTTTCAAGGCAGGGTTTCTCTGTGTAGCTTTGCACCTTTCCTGGAACTCACTTGGTAGCCCAGGCTAGCCTCGAACTCACAGAGATCCACCGGGCGGTGGTGGCGCACGCCTTTAATCCCAGCACTTGGGAGGCAGAGGCAGGTGTAGCACACATTTAATGCTAGCACTTGGGGGCCAGAGGCAGACAGATCTCTGTGAGTTCAAGGCCAGCCTGGTCTACAGAGCGAGTTCCAGGACAGCCAGGACTGTTATACAGAGAAATCATGTCTCAAAGACAAACAAACAAAAACAACTAGGGGCTGGAAAGGGGGCTCAGAGGTCAAGAGCATTTGCTGCTCTTTTAGAGGATCCGGTTCTAGCACCTACATGGAGGCTTACAACTGTTTGTAACCTCAGTCTTAGAGAATCCAATACCACTTCTGGCACTAGCTACATAAGTGTTATACAGACATAGATGCAGTCAAAGCACCTGTCATAGTTCAGGTTTCTATTGCTGTGAAGAGACACTATGACCACAGCAACTCTTATAAAGGAAAACATTTAATTGGCCGGGGAGGGTGGGGCTTGCTTACAGTTTCAGAGATTCAATCCATTATTGTAATGGCAAGAAGCATGGTGGCATGCAGACAGACATGGTGCTGGAGAAGGAGCTGAGAGCTCTACATCTTGATCAGCAGGCAGCAGAGAGAGACTGCCACACTGGGCATCCACCCAACATCCTCCAACAAAGCCACAACTACTCCAACAAGGCCACACCTTCTAATAGTGCCATTCCCTATGGGCCAAACATTCAAACAGATGAGTCTATGGGAGCCATTCCTATTCAAACCACCGCAGCATCCTACACATAAATGATTTTTTTCAAAGTACATTGCAGGATGTGGTGGCTCGTGTCTATAATCCCAACCCGCAGGAGGATAAGGCAGGAGAATCCAACACAGATTCCAGGCAGGCCTGGCTTACAAAGTGAATTTTAGGCCACCTTGGGATACATAATAAGAGAAAAAGCACGGACAGAAAGATTCTAGGGGCCCAGAGCTAACGAACCAGAAACTTCTGGTTATGACCAGAAGTCTGTTTGATCAGGCTATTTCGGGGGATCCAAATACACACCAGTTTGAGAACCATTGGCCAGTCAGAGAGGTTTGAAGGGTAGAAGCGCCATCAGTTAGGAACTTCCTAATGATTTGAAGCTAGGTTTGAAAGTTGAGGAAAGAACTGGCTAAGACTGATGTGGATGAATATTTAAAATGTGTGCATGTTACCCTAGAGAATAGGAAGCTAAGGGCATCTAAGAGACAGAAGTCTGAAGTGAGGAGATGCCCTAGTGGAAGAGGGCTGTAGGGCGCCTACAAGACACTTCGCAGGTGGGGTACACTGTCTAAATGAGGACAAACCCCATTCCCACATCGCTGCTGGGGCCCCTCTTCCCAACAGCCTTAACCTAGCGGCCTCACTGCAGCTGCAGCTTGCAGGGCCAGGGCATGAACCCAGCTGGCTCAGGTCGTGGCTCTTGGCAAGAGCAAGTACAAACAGTCCCCTTCAGCTGGGCTCGGCCGGCCGCAGCTGATCACAGCCCTGTGTGAGAGGCATCCTCAGCTTATTCGCATCCTTTGATGTGAACCAGGTACCAAAGCCTGGCTGGGGCGCCACAGACTGCAGCCCAGGTTTCAGGTGCCCGGGGCTGCGGGGCTGGGAAACAGAAGAAGACGCCCCTTAATGCTACCCCTTAACCCCCTAAATCCGGGCAGAACTACAAAGACCATGATCCCAGATATGGGAGTGCATTGCTTTCTGGGAGTGATAGTCCCCCCATGTGGAGCACTGCTGGCAGATCCTGCCCCGCTGGACTACATATCCCAGCGTGCCTGAACGAGTTGGGGGATAGGAGGGAGGGGAGAGCCCTGGAGGATGTGAATGGGGAGGGGGCACCCGCCCCCTTCCCCCACCCTTCCCTTTTGCTGGGCAGGGGTGGGGGGAGGGGCCGGGCTGAGGCTGCAGCCGCGGCGCTCCGGGAGGGCAGGGCCAGGCAAGGGCGGGACTGGCCCAAGGCAGGCGATCTGGAGAGCCTTGAAGCTAACGGGTCCGGGCGCGGGAGGCGGCGGCGGCAGCGGCGGCGGCAGCGGCAGCTTTCTGCACGGGCGGAGGCGGCGGCAGGAGCGGCAGGCATGGCCCGCGCGGCGCCCAGCGCAGACTGAGGTGCGCGGGCGGGATGAGAGAGGGAGGGATGCGGGGCTCCCCGGGCCCCGTGCTGCCCCAACCCTCCTCTGCGGGCAGAGGGTTTGGCTCAGAGGCCCAGACCCTTCGGGTCCAGCCCAGCAACTTCCCCCGGGTCTGGGCGCCGTGTGGGCGGGGGTCTGATTGCCTTGGCCTGGATCAGGATCCCCGCCTTCAGCTCCTGCATATCTCGCAGCTCCCAGTCTTCCAGGCGCTCCTGTGACACGCCTTGCTGGCAGCCCCCAGCCCCAGCCCTTGAGAACCCTGTCCTAGTCCACACTTCCACACCCCAGGTATTGGTACCTCCAGCCTCCGGAGCTTGGGAACCTGCTCCTTCCGGAAACCCCTGTCCCACTTCTCTTGGTCAGAAGCTGTCTGCACCATCCGCACTTCTTTCCCCTCTCCTTCGGCCTTCCCCCCGCACCTGGCGCTGACCCCAGCCACGCTCTGTGGCCTAGCTCTCTCTAATAAGACCTGACAGCTTGACCTCCTTCCTACTTTGGAGAAACTGAGGCATGAACCAACCAGAAACTTGGTCAGCGTGCCCGCCCTCTGGACTCTGGCCTGAACCCTGTCCCTTGCCCCTCCTGTCCCTTCCATCCCTTGCCATGTAAGACACGTTACTTCCTCCGGTCATGCCCCTGTGACTGGATGAAACTTCCCAGCCCCTTCTCTGGGGCTCACACCAGTCTCTCTTGTTTAGTTATTTCATTACTTCTGTTGCCCCCTCCTTTGCGTAGCCCTCCGCCTGGAGAGGAGTCTCCGGTCCCTTTGCTGCTTGCTCAAGTTAGCCTTTCTGTTTCTCTCTTGCCAACTGCATCCTTCTCCCATTTTTGCCTCTTGTTTCCATCTCTACGCTGAGAACGATTCAGAGCATCCTGGGGCTCCTGGGAAGTAGTTATTCCTAGCCCGTAACCCATACTCCTACTTATGTACAAATGTCTAGAAACTGCTTGGCTTTGTCTAGAAGAAACTGGTTGGCCTTCCCTTCCTCATGCTTGATGGGCTTGGAAGTCTGGGTTGGAAGGGACCATTTACCTTTATGGAGATGGTGGCATTGGAGAACTCTGGTCACTATACCCCTCAGCTAATCTGGCTTCTGCTGTTAACTTTAGAGTGGGCTGCGCCTTCTGGGAGGGATGCCTGATAATGTGCTCTGAGCTTTGTGGAGGAAGGCACTGTGCCTGTAGGCGGTGAACTCAAGTTTAGTCCTGGTGCATCTGATCTGAAGCAGAGAGGGAGGGAGGTATAATTCGGTTTTTGTTTGTTTGGCTGTTCCTTCGCCATCTTCCTTCAGCTGAATTTTCCTTCGGGTCACACTTCTCTTCCCCTATCTCCAGTCTCCCAGTAGAAAGTGGGGAAGGGCGAGGGTGAACCTGTGAGCTATCAGGGAGGGAGGGCATACTTCCAAAGTTTGTGAGGGTCCCGAGTGAGCCGTCTTGATCTGAACCAGATGGTTCTCTGCTTCAACACGATCCCTCCCATGCTCCCTCCCCCTTGGCTGTGAATAGGATGCTTTTAACCTTGTAACTTGAGAATGGAGAAGTGAGGCCAGGGGACCAACTGTCTGTGTGAATGTTTGTGTCTACATCTGCACACTCTGCAAGCTTTCCAGGGGCCGATTGGAAGTGTTAGTGTCCCGGAGACCACTGTGGAGTTCTGTGAAGTGCTGATAGGCCTTGGGCACTTTTAGAGCCCCAAAGATAGAACTAGTTTTGAAGCTCCTAAGGGTCACTGGAGTCAGGCAGGGTGACACACACCTGTTATGTCAGTGTTCAGGACAGCATGAGGATTGCCATTTAAAGGCAACCTAGCTATACAATGAGATCTCAGAAACCCCAAAGGGGGGTCTGTGAGATGGCTTCCAGGTAAAGGTTCTTGCCAAACAAGACTGGCAACCTGAGTTTAATCCCTGGAGCTCAGATAAGTTGGAAGAAGAGAACTGATTCCATAAACTTGACCTTTGACCCCCACACACAAGCCATGGCACTCACACATCATGTGCATACCCCACATATGGTTTTAAAAAGAAACAAAACCGTTAGCTGTAGCCCCATTTGAGTGAAAACTTAACTTTCACCTTAAGCCAGGTCTCAGGGGGAGGATTATCTTTCTTTGGAAGGCTGTTTCAGATTGAGGAGTCTGACACAGTAAGGTTCAAGGTGTTGGAGGGAAGCAAGGCAAGGTGGTTCCTTCCTTCACTTGAGCTCTTATTTTAAAGATTCGTGTCATTTTTATATATATGTCTGTGTATGTGGGTGCCCGCAGAGGCCAGAAGAGGGCATCAGATGCCCTGGAACTGGAATTTCAGGTGGTTTTAAGACATCTGATGTGGGTTCCGGGAACCAAACTTGGTCCTCTGCAAAAGTAGCAAGTGCTCTTAGCCTCTGGGCCATCTCTCTAGCCCCTGTGTTCTTTTGTTTTTTAATAACAGGAGATGGTATAGGGAATATGGTTTGAGGAGATGGGTGGGACATGGATTTCTTTGTTTTTCTGTAGTATATTTTGTTTGCCTTGTTGTGGTTTTGTGTCTTTGCATTTTGTTTCATTTTTGAGACAAGCTCTTACATGAGTCTAGGCTGTCTTCAGATTTGATGTGTGCTGAAGATGGCCCTGAATTCCTGATTCTCTTGCCTCTGCATCAGGAGTTCTGGGATTACAGGCGTGCGCTCTGATGCTCAGCTGTGTCCTTGATTTTGTGGAAGTTCTTTAAATGCATCTTTATTTCTGAAGTACTTTAGTAGGTGCTCAGTTGAAGCAGAGGTTTTGTTGTTGCTGTTTTGAAAAAGTAATTAATTTGGGGTGTGTGTGTGTGTGTGTGTGTGTGTGTGTGTGTGTGTGTGTCGTTCATATGTGTCATGACCCATGTGTGGGCGTCAGAGGAGAACTTGCAGGAATTAGTTCATTCCCTCCACCATGTGGGTTCTGTGAATCAAACTCAGGTGGTCAGGCTTGGTGGCAAGAGCCTTTATCTGCCGAGCCATCTTGCCTGCCTTTGTTCTCATTTTTGAAGTGACATCTACTACATAGCCCTGGCTGGCTTGGAACCTACTGTGTAGCCCAGGCGGGTGTGGAACCTTCAGTGATCCTCCTGTCTCTATCTCCTGACTGCTGGGATTATAGATTTGTACCACAGTGCCTGGCAAAGCAGGGAGGCTTATGATGAAAGGTTTCTGGCTGGCTTCTTCATACTTTCCAGGTCTTGAAATCACCTGGAGAGTTGGTTAAGGTCCAGATACCTATGCCGTGGTGCCAGAGGCTTTTTTTTTTTTTTTTTTTTTTTTTTTTGATTCGGTTGGTCTGAATTTGTATCTCTCCTCAGCTCCTTGGGTCTAACATTTTAAAAGACACTGAATTGAGCCATTACAGCTGCATGGTAAGCTAATCCCAACAGACGGAAAGTCTTAAGAAGGACTTTCATCCACCTTGTTTCCCCCCACGGCCTGTTCTGGCAGCTGTGCCCTTTGAGCCGTTTTCTTTCATTCCCATGCTGCCCAGGGTTGGCTGGGTTAGAGAGAGGCCTGACTTGTGCAGCCTGAGCTGTCTGTCTGTCCTGCCATAACCACAGCCCCATTGTTCTTGGAAAGAAGGCCTCATGACCAAACAGGATGTTTAGGAGCCAGAACTTTGGAAAAGGGTAGCTGCCTGGGTTCAATAAAGCAGCCACTGAGACAGACTCTTGTCTGTTCCGTGTAGGTTTTCCAGAATGAGACGATTGGGGTGCCTGCCAGGTGAAGTCCTGTTACGGCTGCGCACTGGACAGGATGCCCAGGAATCTGGAGTTTAGACAAGCTAGAGGAATCATACAGTGTTTTGCAAATATTTTCTATCTGTTTACAGGCTGATGAGAGGTCGATACAAATATATAGGAAAACTATATCCAGGCAGATATAGATCCAGGTAGGGTTAGTGAGGGACAGGAAGACAAGGTGTGGGTCACCTAGCAGCCCCAGGACTAGCATTTCAGCCCATCTGTTAGAGCGGTCCTTCTAACAGCTCCCGGAATGGGTTCGCTGAGTGCTCACTGCTAGCCCAGCCCTGCAGTAGGTGTGCTCATGCTGTATGGAATCCTCACAGCACCATTGCGAGGTTGGTATCGTTGTCATTATTTCACATGTGAAATTTAAAGTAAAACATCCAGGGCTGGGGAGAGATCTTGGTTCGCAAAGAGCATGCCTTCCAAACGGGAGGACCTGAGTTAAATTCCCAGCACCAGAATAAAAAAATGTCCGGCATGGTGGTACATACTTGTAATCCCAGTGCGGGAGATGCAGAGGCAGGAGGATTCCTGGGGCTTGCTGGCCAGCCAGTCCAATCTAATTGGTGAGCTCCAGGCCAATAAGAGACCTGCCTCAAATGAGGTGAACACTCTGCACACACAGCAACACATGCACACACATCATACATATAGATGAAGTCATAAAAACAAAAAGCAAGTGTGGTGGTGTATATTTGCAATCCCAGGATTCGGGAACCTGAAATAGGAGAGTTATGAGTTCAAGGTTAGTCTGGGCTATGTAGCAAGACCCTATCTGAAGAAATCAAAACAACAAAAATTAACAGGTGAAAAGTATAACTTTTTTTTTTTTTTTTTTTTTTTTTTACTAATTGATCATAGTTTTACATGCCGTGAGACCTTCAGATTGAAGACCCGGGTGAACTGTCCATTTTTATGCTTGGGTTGAGGAAGCTTAGAGAGCTGTGCAGAAATAAATGGGACCTGAAAAGGCCGCCCGCCCTAATGCCGGTTAGCTGCTGCTTAGCCTGTGGTAGCAGCAGCATCACTCCTTTTCGGATGTAGGGCAGAATGCTTTCTTTGATGGACATGTGGCTGTCAGATAAGGGAGGCCAGAGGCTGCGGGGGTGGGGGGGTGGAGGTAAGAGTGACATTTTAGGTCTTAGAGCTTGTTTTGGCAAAGAGGTCCTAATTTATTGCCGTTGTTCATTTTAGGGGTTCTGGTCTCTACAGTATGCTTTGGGGA